ATTAACTCTTGGCGACATTGACACAACTAAATTCACCGGAAAACTTAGTTACAACAAAGTATCTACCATTAATGGTAAATACGTGAATTGGATGACTAATATGGACGACATTTCTATTAATGGTAAAAAACTTAAATACAAGATAAAATCTGCAGTATTTGATCCTTCCTTAAATTGCGTATATATGTCATCTGGTAATGCTGAAGCCTATCATAAATTAATTAACGGAACAAGCCAGATTTGTAATGATGTTGCATGTGTATATACTGTGCCCTGTAACTCAACTGATAGAGTAGAATATATATTTAATGGAATCAATTATCCTTCAAGCCTGATCAGCGGGAATGTTAATAATATTAGTTGTGTTTCTGCAGTTCAAGGTGGAGCAGATTCTGATGATATTTTGTTAGTTGGAGAACCATTTCTCAAAGAAGTTTACACAGTCTATAACATAAAAGATTTTACGATTGGACTTGCTCCCGCATCTAAAACAGTATAATTAATGAGTTTTGAAATAGTAAACTCAAATAAATCTAATATTATACATTTTCATACTTTTAATAAATTTGATAGTTAGCTAATGTATTTAATTTTGATATAAAGATTAAATAAATAATTTCTTTAAATAATTTCTTGTTAATTAATCCCTTTTTGGTTGATCTTTAGTATAGGTGGGCATATATAATTATTATACAATTATAATATATATAACATAACTATTTAGAGTAATTTTATAAATTGTTAGGGTCAGAATTAAGGTTAGAGTTTAAATTAGCTCAAATTAGTTAGGTTTTATATATTATAATTTTGTAATAATTTATATATACCCACCTATACTAAAGGAGATCCTAATTTTTTGTTAATTAATATAAATATTTTCTTGTTAATTAAGTAATTTTTTGTTAATACCAGGAACGGAGTGCAACGAAGTGCATGGTTAAGTAGGAAGTGAAAGGGTGTATCCGAATTCGAGGATCTGATTGGATAAAAAATCCTTGTGACTTTTTGTAACACCCCGAACAATACTAAAAAAAATGCAAATCTTGATTGGTATGCAACATATAAACTTTATTAGTATTCTTGATCCTTGTTTTCCATATTTGTGCAACGGATGATCAGTTACGATTAGTCATGCATGATAGCTTCCTTATGATTTTACTTATTTGTGCGAGTAACACAAACCAAAAAAGGGGTCGTCTAAAGCGGAGGCACATCATGTGATTAACAGCCAATCAAATGACAGAATTTTGATGATCACCAGCGAAGCAAAAAAACAAAAAACCCGAAAAATACAAAAAACGGCAGTCTAAACCTACCTCAGGTAGGTGAATCAAAAATGTCGGGAAGGTAATTTTGCTCATAAATAACTACTAAAACCTAACCTAACTCCAATATAGAAGACCCTAACCCTAAAGTTAATCGAAAAAATACCAGGAACGGAGTGCAACGAAGTGCATGGTTAAGTAGGAAGTGAAAGGTTGTATCCTAATTCGAGGATCTGATTGGATTACATATTCAGGTGATTTATTTATATTATTATTTGTTGAACGAATTAGGCGATCGAATATTATAATACTATATCGGTATTAATGTTATTGGTGCTAAAAATTTTAAAATCGAGTTAGGTGTGGTGTATTTTAAAATGCCTTACCGTTTAAGTTATTAACCGTTTAATTACAGCCCTGATTACTGTATGTAAGCGAATATTGAATAAAAGACTAGCGCTTCAATAATAAATGGACAACTAAGGCATTTTTTCAAGATTTTATCTTCGCTCTTTTTCAAAATTACTTAAGATAGTTTAATGGATACCTTTTATTTACAAGCTACTATGTCTAATTCTATTTTTTTTTTTTTCGTCCTTATCATCTTTACTAAAAATGGTTTAGTATATACCTGTAATTTAGGAAGATTTTGTAA